TCACTCCATTATATTTAACTCGGTCATGGAATCCACGAGTCAGTTAGTCGATGTTATTTGGGCTAAGTATATGTGCCTTGTATGTTGTTTTGTTTTGGATAGCCAGTTGATAGGCTATTATAATTGTTGTAGGTTCTTCGAGCTGATCTTGTGCCATAGTTCCTTCAACTCTATGTTTGAATATAACTCTTGCTATATCCAGGATGGTCTTATTTAAATTGCTATGTCGTAAGTTGTTTATGTTTTAATTGAAATTGGTATGATCAATGTATGCATTGTTAGAGGTATGCTGTAAAAGCTCCTATTTACAGATTCTATCAATTCCATTTTGATCTGGCCATCATATTTCGGTCAAAGTACATATGCTTGCAGTTTATTTATTTATGCAATCATACTCCATGTCTTATATTGAGATAGTGTGGTTCGAAGAGTTTCGAACAGAAAGATCACCTATCGGTTCCTTATAAGACTAAACTATTCGTTCACATTCTAGACTGGCAGTGAGACCCCACTTGAAAAAAGACTGTAGTGTATTCTTGATTCAGTTGGTCTTTCACTGCAGGATTACACTAGCACTTATGATAAGTGTTGAACAGGACCACAGAAGGATAAGATTATGAGACTCACTGACCGTTGTTGTAATCTAGACCTTCAGTAATTGATGCGTACTCTTAAGTTGTAAGATAATATAAAATGGGCATATGTATTCATTACTTATTTATTTGATTTATCAAGGGTGATTCCTATTCTGCTAGGATGACATACTCGGTATTTTGGTAAATAAGTTTGTTTACATGATGTGCCGTTATAAATTATTTACGGTCACTGTGTCCCAGTGCCCTGGGTTGATGACGTCCCTGAAATGAGCACAGGAAAGAATATTATGTCAAGCCCTGCAGGCGGATGTGTTATCCGGCATAATGATTAAGGATCTGAGTAGTACTAGTTTCGGAAATGAATAAGAAGTTGATTAATTATCTTGTCAGTAATTTAATTAATCAAAAGACGTTATATCTTAAACATGGGGAGATAAATCGATCAATTGGATTAATATATTTAATCAGTGGAAATGAATTAATTGTAATTCGGAGCTAAATGGGGAGAGCAATAATAT